ACCGGAGCAAACGGAGGTGGTTAAGCGGTCCCGAACCGAGGCACACAGCCAACAGCTCCGAAAAATCGGAAACCGGACTCCAAACGGGCAAAATGGCCTACGACCACGAAACGCAACCTACTGCCACTGAGAGATGATCTACGAGACCTCTCCCTCCCTTCGAAAAGAGAAAACAGAGAAAACAGAGCCTGGTTCGCAAATCGAGACAAAGCATGAAAGAGTCTGAAAGTCCGGAGGCGAGGCTCGCAGGCGAGGTTCGCAGCCGAGGCTCTGAAACCTCTGAACGAGCACGATATGCAACATCACCAAGCGCTCAATCGGTGACGTCTGAGTCTTAAGGTCGGTCAAAAATGGGGTGTCTACAGTTGCCTCTTTTTGACAGAACTCGAAAGTCACACGTGACGGGAGTGAATGTCAAAGCCCAGAGACGACCCATTTTTGACAAGGCCGAAGACTTAGACAAACAGGCAAGATAACAAAGATGTGCCCGCAGGCATGCCTGCAGGCAGGGGGCAAGATGCAAAATGATATGCATGAAGATTTTGATAATTGGACTTATACGCTATGCGAAGCCGGTTTGAAAATTGGACTTATACTCTACGCGAAGCCGGTTTGATAATTGGACTTATACGCTACGCGACGCCGGTTTGAAAATTGAGGATTCATGCAATGCACTATAATGTAGTGGCTAAAATGTAATGTAATAGCTAAGAGGTAAAGGTACCTTACAGGGGCAATTGACAGTGACTTACCTCGTGCTGCTGGGGATCTTTCGCTTCTCCTTAGTTGAACCGCAGGTACTACTTTTCTCCCTGACTATGGTCGCAGTTTTCCCTATTCTCCAACAGGGTGACAGACTAGGTTGGTTCAGTATCCAGAATTGAGGCGCATACACATGCTATCTCAATCTATGGGCCTGCCATACAGATTTCAAGCCGAGGATATACCCCTGGGTATTTAAACCAGACTTTAGTCTCGGAAATCCCGAACCTTTACATTCTAGGCAAGAGCCATTCGAACTCTAGTTTCCACCGTCTCAGTTGGTCTCCTAGGAACTCAGCGCAAACATAGGCAGGTGGCTATACCAGACCACGGGAAGTCGTTCGGGCACGACAAACACCAAAGGAATTACACCTTTAGAGGATTTAAGGTCTCCTAGACCCGGGAGTGCACAAGACAGTGCGAATAAAGATGCAGGATCCTGGACCGGGGAGTGCACAAGACAGTGCGAATAAAGATGCAGGATCCTGGACCGGGGAGTGCACAAGACAGTGCGAATAAAGATGCAGGATCCTGGACCGGGGAGTGCACAAGACAGTGCGAATAAAGATGCAGGATCCTGGACCGGGGAGTGCACAAGACAGTGCGAATAAAGATGCAGGATCCTGGACCGGGGAGTGCACAAGACAGTGCGAATAAAGATGCAGGATCCTGGACCGGGGAGTGCACAAGACAGTGCGAATAAAGATGCAGGATCCTGGACCGGGGAGTGCACAAGACAGTGCGAATAAAGATGCAGGATCCTGGACCGGGGAGTGCACAAGACAGTGCGAATAAAGATGCAGGATCCTGGACCGGGGAGTGAGCATTGGAACGTATTCCGAACACTTTTAACCGAAGAGGGAGAAACATAGGGACGTATCCCGGTGTTTCAGAATGGTGTGAGTATTGGAATGTATTCCGAACACTTTAAACCGTAGAGGGAGAAACATAGGGACGTATCCCGATGTTTCGAAATAAAGGGAGAAACATAGGGACGTATCCCATTGTTTCGGAAGGAAGGAGAAATGTAGGGACGTGTCCCGGTGTTTCAGAATAAAAGATGCGGGCATTGGAACGTGTTCCAAATGCTCTAAACCAAAGGAGGTCTAAGCCGTCGCACGCGCGAGGAGAAAGAATGATAATTGCAAGTGAATTGGTGCGTAACAATGCAATGAATGAGCATAACAATGCGAGATAGATGTGCATAATCAATGCAATGAATAGGTATAACAATGCTAGTGAAGTGGGTGCATAACAATGCAACTAGAACGTGCATCACGATGCAAGTGGAACGTGCGTGACAACACATATTTAAAACAAAATGCCGAATCAGGGAATACAAGCCTTAACGAGACCAAATTCAAACGCGACCTCTGATTTACCTTTCAAACGGGCACACCCTGTTCATACTAGAGAGAGATAACATCTGCTGCTGCTTTAATTGCCATTCTGACTTGGAATAGGCTTAAGCTTGGGGTCGAGATACACTCATGCTTCAGAGTAGTGACCAAGCCTGAGGAGGTACATCCGGAGTACAATCACGGAATTTCCTGAAGGTGAAACACACTCAGATGCTTCGATTTTTCCTCTTTTCTTTTGCTTTGTAGTCTGGAACCCATATAGCTTCAGATAGGTCCTGGTCTTACTGTTCTCACATGACCTGGGTTGAACCGTGCGGTTTTATGGAAGAACGAATCTTGTCTTGCACAAACGTGAAGAATGGCACAGCGCTTTGAGCACAAAACTATTTTCTTTTTGGAATTGAGAGATGAGTTTTTGACCAGGTATTGAGCCTACGACTGAACACAGCAAGACAACTCAACACGGAAATAAAAGGCACACAACCTAAACACCACTCAACAAAGGAAAAACAAGGTAAAACAATCTAAACACATCGAGACACGCTCGGAACGACTCAAAGCAAGAATCGAGACAAACAAAACAAGAGACATGACACACAGACATGTTACAAAGATGAGAGACCTCTCCGTACACGAGGAACCAGTTTCTCCAGGTATTATTTTCCACCCTTTCTCATTTGTGATTCTCACATCACTCGGCCCTCAAGCTTTGTTTTTCTGAAAAAGCCATTTTCTCACTTTTTTCTCTCAGCGCACACCTCTCTATTCTTCAATCTCTCATTTTAAATCCCTCCCCTGGGCGGTTGATGGATAAACAGAAAGTTGTTGGCTCTTGCCTCTAGCATTCCGCTAGATTCTTCTTCTTCTGTACGCAGCTAGTGAGTTTCTCCCACAGAGGGGCTGTGCTACAACTGGGTGTGTAGAAAATCTACAGCTGACATTGGTTGACGATGCTCTGCTGGAGAGTTTGGACGTGATCAGATCTGTCCAGATGAGGTAGTGGAATATCTTGATCCATTCCAGTTCGTGCTTCGCACTTGGCTTGACACCTCGTTGCTTGGAGGATGCGAGAGCTTTCTGCCCTTTTGCGGATAGCTTCAGTGGTGCCCTTTTCTGGCAGGTATGGTGCCCTTCTTGGCAAGTATGGTGCCCTTCTTGGCAAGTATGGTGCACTTTCTGGCAAGTATGTTGACAATGGGGAAAAGACAGAACACCTGACTCAACTATGCCCCTAGTTCATCATTTCGACCATTTTTTGTTTTTTGGCTTTCTATTAAGACAATTTTGACCAAAATGAGAGTTCGATTAACATGCTTGTTCAATTTTCTGATTTAAAATCATGCAAGTCAGGTTATGAGCACTGAAAATTTTTCTTTTTTGGGTCCAAGAAATGGTCCAGTTTTGGAAAAATGGAATAATTTTTGAGAGAAAATTAGTCAACCTCATTAAAAATTCTCAAAAATTATTTTTGCAAACGACCACTGCTCAACGGGCACAGAACCCGCTCTTGAGATGCACAACTTCAGATCCGAAGAAAAATTGCCCCGTGCTTGAAGAGAGCTTCCTGGCAACGGAAAGTTGCCCTTTGTTTGAACGGCACCACAGCGTATTGAATGGCAACGGAAAGTTGCCCCTTGTTTGGATAGCACCGCGGCGCATTGTAGTCAGTCCTTAGAGTGACGAACACAACCAAATTTTCGGATTCAGAGAAAGCAAAGATGATCAAAACCATTACATGGACACAGTGTTTTACGGCTGGACTTCAGAATGAAGTTGCCTACGTATCCCAAAGATGGGAATCAAGCCTTACGTAGTTCGGGGTTAAGTTACACTCGGGTATTTAACCTCTCCTTTTGCGCTCTAACTTTTGCCTGGGCCGCCCTTTGCGGGTTTTCAACCTTGCGTGCTATGTTTTTCTTCTTTCCGATTTTTGTGTTCTTTTCTTTTCTTTTCATTTCTTTTTTGATTTTCTTTTTTTGTTCTTTTCTTTGCATCTTTCTTTTTTGTTCTTTTGTTCTTTTCTCTTTTTTGTTCTTTTTCTTCTTTTCTTGCTCTAACTTTTGCCTGGGCCGCCCTTTCGGGTTTTCGGCCCAGCGAGCCTCTCAAGGGTAAAAGTATAGCTTTGTCCATGTCAAATGGTTTTGAGATCCCGAAGTCATCTGAATCCAGGAGAATGGCTGTTGTTCGCTGACGATGCAAGAGTCCATCTAATGGAGGGTGAATTTACCCCTAGTGTTTGTGGATAGGAACTCGGTTGTCCTTCAACAATGTCTTCTTCTTTCCTCCTTTCTGGGTTTTGGCATTCTTGCCGATCTTCATCTTGGACTCTTCGAGCACATTTGAAATTCTTGCCCCTAGTTCGAGGGGTATTCCTGATCTAGCTTCGCAAGCTTTTTGATCTGACTTTGTTGCCGCTAATTCACGGGCTGCTCTGGATCCGGCCACACAGGCCTTACATTGTAGTTGACCTTTGAACTTTCTGAGTTCTAGTCCAAGGTTTGAAAATGAGGAGTCGAGTCTCGAGGCTGAGAGCGATCCTAAGCTGCACAATCTCAAGAGCGATTCCACACAGGTCTTCGCAGGACGGCGTAAAACACATTTTTTTTTTTTTTGAAATCTTTTAAGAAAGCGACTAATCGCTCATGCTGAAGACGGTGTGGGACCAATCTGGATCAAGCCAGGATCCTTCTCAGTACTCACGTTAACAAACATGATTTTATTCATCAAGGGCTTAGCACGCCTCTCTTTCTCTCAATTTGATCAAAGTTTTGCAAAACCCGAGGAATTCCTTCCTCTTCGTTTTCACCGCAGTGTTCAAAAAGTTTTGGAAAACTTAGGTCGATGTAATGAATTCAAGGCACAGAAAAGACACAGCTTCTAGTCAGATACTGCCATCTTACTTGGAATTTCTGGTACAACTGGCACACGGCAGAAGCGAACATAAAAGCATGAAAAACCAACTGCTGTTCATTCGAATTTGCTGGCGTTACTGGCTCCAAGGCAGAAATAGACTCAAAACAAAACGAAAAGATAAACACAAAACAAAATGGTGACGCCCGAGGTAACACCCCCCGGAATCACCCGACTCCTATACAACAGGACTGACTCGATACAACAAGACAAACCCAAAACAAAAGAGACTGACTCAAGACAAAAAGACAGACTCAAAAACAAAACAACAAGACTGACCCAATACCTAAGTCAGAATGTACAAAAACCAGCATTCACAAATGCTCAAAACAGTGCGTGCCATACACCATATCTGAAATAAACTGAACGCCGCCCGCAGGTGGTTCATCCCTCGATCACATCACATTATCCCCTACAAGTTCACTGATCAAGTGCCGATAGACTTTGCAGGACCTGGTGCGGGGATGACCCCGTTGTCAATCAAATTTTGTATTTCGTGGCGGAGACGGATGCAACTGTCGGTGTCATGACCGGTTTGTTGATGGAAAGCACAGTACTTAGTCGGGTCATGTTTTGGAGGGAGAGGATCGGGTAGAGGCTGTTGCTCTAATGGTTTCAGATGTCCTTTCCTGAGTAGGACCCCCAGGGCTTTAGACAAAGACATATAGAGTGGGGTGAAAACCCTCTTGCCTCGGGGTAGATAGTCTGAAGTTCGGGGGTTTGAAGTGGATGCACCAACAAAGGGGGTGGCTGCTTTTGGTGTGGTGGTGGCGACCATGCCCACTTCGGAAGATCTTGCAGCTGCGTCACCGCTGGTGGTCGCATTCGAACTGCGGGTAAACGCCCTCCTGGGCTGTTCCTTCTCCTGGTCAATAAGGCCCTGCTTCATAGCATCCTCAATCTGTACTCCCATCTCATGCAAATCTGAAAAGGTAGGGAAGGGGAGCACGATCATTTTCTGCATTAGTTTGGGCTGGAGGTTGCGCACAACCATCCGTATTTGATCCTTATCCGTTGGCCTAATGGTCATCATTGAGGCCTTGGCCCTCTAGCGGGCCACGAATTCTGAGAAACTCTCTTTAGGCTCTTGCCTTGTTGTCTCGAGATCACGGGTTGTAATCTCGATTTGTGTGTTGTATGAGTATTGCGTAATGAAGGCCTCAGCCATCTCATCCCAGTTTCTCTTGACATCATTTTCTAATTTGGCATACCATATAGCCGTCACACCCGACAGGGTTCGGCCGAACAGAGATAGCTTCTGAAGTCTGCTGAGGCCCATTGGCCTTAAGATGTTTGAAAACAGTCTCAGGTGCACCATGGGGTCCCCGGACCCATCAAATTGATCAATGTGCGGCATTTTGAACCTGTTAGGCAGCGTCACAACTGCGTTGGTATATCCATCTTCGATGTCAGGAATGGTCTTGACTCCTTGGGATCTCTTGAAAAGCTTCTCGAGCTTGCTCAGTTTCAGAGCTGTATGGTCTATTTCGAACTCGAAGGGAGAGTCCGGGTGGTTGGGTGTATGGGTCTTGGACAGTTGAGGCGGAAGCGGGGGCGGAGCTGGCCCCGTTGGAAGGTCTGTGTCCTCTTGGATGTTCTGGACATTGGGTAAGGTGTTCTGGGTGTTTGGCAGGGCATTCTGGACAGTAGGTGCCTGCTCAGGTAACAGGACCCCTGGTGGAGGAGGAACTTGATGTGAGGCAGATGCTGCATTTTGCTGTTGCAGTCTAGGGATTAGCTCGGCCTGCTGAGCCATGACTGTGGCCTGCTGTTTAGAGAACTCTGCTTGGCGGGCAGCATCCTTCTGCATTTGTTTCATGCTCTCTTGGAGCTGGCGCATCATTTCCTCCATCCCTAATGTGTTCTGCTGATCCATCTAACTGACTAGTATCTATCCCTGCAGTAGAAACTGAGACCTCAGCCTGACTGTTCACTGGTGGGGTGGATAAGGGCCACTGATCTGGTAACTGCTGAACTGGTGATTTGTGCCTGACTGGCCCTTTTACCCTGCCTCTGGCAAAGGAACACTGATTGCCCTTGAACTGAATATCAGCACAAGTTTGATGAACCTCGGGGGATATCGGAGTCTTCTGAAGCTATGGTTCCAGGACTACCCTAGCAAAAGAGAAAACAAACAGTACCTCAGGTCAACTTCACCAAAATATATACGAGTGTAGCAGGATGACTGTGCCCTCTACTGAATTCTACCCCCAAAATTCAGCCTCAAATCTGATACCCTCAGGTAAACTGAATCCCAAAATACTGAACTGGTGCTCGCAGGCTTGATGCCCAAACTTGCAAACTGATACATGCATTCCTGTAGAGACGCACTCTAAAAGCACATAACAGATAATTGAGAGCCAAAACACCCCTATGGAGGGGTAGGGTTTCCCTGTCCTATTTTGTCAGGAGCTAGGGTTTCACTACATATGTAGCGGTTTCAAACAACCTAAATCGGGTAAGCAACCTGTCCTAGCTTGGAATGGTCACTATGGATTCCGAATATGCGCTAGGTCGAATGGTCAAAAGGGTGCCCCGGTAAAACCGGTGTTTGTGTTCCCATACTGGCAGAGCCCACAACCGGTCAGCTTTATGGTCATGCCTTGACAAGACAAGCCTCCGGCAAACCGTTCAGGAATAGCAGATGGCAAACACAGTGTCCTAGGCGCACCAATGCAAATGCAATGCAAAGAAACACACAAGTGTAGTCAAAAACAGATATCACGAGTTCGAGTCAAGTTCTCTAATTTCCCAGCAGAGTCGCCAGAAACTGTAGACATCCCCGAACACCCTGGGAGGGATGAGTCCCGTTCTGTTCGTATGGGGTTCACTACAGTTCGGACTCTCAAATTGTCACGGTTCTAAATCTGAACCAAAGAGTCCAAATCCGGCAAAACGTTTTGAGAAAATAGATTTTGAAAGAAGTGCCAAACATGGACTGCTTTGCCAGATACAAAGTCGCACCTAAATGTTTTATTTTGGGGAAATTTAGGAAACCCTGACTCGTTTGCCTAAGGCCACGTGTCCGTCATCACCAAAGTTGCCTCGGCTCGGGAACTTGGGTACGATTGGGGAAGGTCACTTCGTGAGCAATAGCGGTGCAAATATGGCTTGAAAGGATCGGTTTCTTCCTAAAAAAGAAGATGATATAATCCATAAAATAATTTATGACAGAGAAATGAGATCGGTGACAATGAACAGAACATATTTATTTGGTGTCTTACCAAATTAGAAGCTAAGTCAATTTCATGATTGCCTGCACTCCAAATCCAGGGTTGGTACGCAACGCTCTTCTCAATGAAACGACCAAATGTATCCCACTTGGTATTGTCATGGTTAGGGTGATCATCAGCATATGAAAGATCACCAGCAAATAGCACAGCTTGGCCTTTTATTGGGTTCGACATATAATGCTCTAGAGTTCGATTGGAATCTGCAGTTTGTCCCAAGTCACCTGCACAAAAATAATGTTAACATTATACAAAATGTAATGAATGATGAATTAAATAAATAAACTAAAATTCCCTAGATTACCCTAACCTATGACACCAAAGGTGTAAGAAACGTCAGGTCCTGGCTTGGGAGGAGTTGTGAAGGAGAACTGACGGGTAACTTCATTAGACGCAACTTCATAGAAGTATTTTGTGTCAAACTACATGAAAAAGAAGTTAGAAAGCTCAAAAAATACATTTAATGCATATATATTTGTACCGTCAAATCTTTGATAGTAGCATGGTGAATGTAACCAGAAGCATAATGAATGCAAACATGCTATCATACTGTATGCTAATTGAAATATGCCCTAATCTAACCATCATAAGCTGGTAAATAAAAGGGAGAAAGACGTGGGGTTGGAAGACATATATCACACACACGCACACTTATTACAATTGTGCCCTCGCTCGGAGGGTCCGAATAAATAATACAGTCCCAAATGAATAATTACAGTCCAAATATGTACAAAACCCTAATTAATTAACAAATTAAATTAGGAACGCAATAAATTGGCATGCAAGCCAGGGACTGCCTCAACTCTGATCCGGATGATGAATGATGCATGTTCGGGTTGCCTTGCGCGGAAATCCATTGCGATGCCCCAATTAGCTTCTGTTTGCGATTGTTCTTGGGATACGTGCCAAGCTCCGGAAGGCTGCTGACTCTTGATTTGCTGTAACAGAGAGCAAGAAAGGGACATGGCAAAGTATTTTCACATATGTATGCATGACTACCCTTCAGGGAGTGTAGTCCTCGATCCTCGTGCCACCAATCACGCATATCGATGCATGATGGTCGAGGAGTCGAATTGCACGACTCAATATGAAATGAATGCACATATAAACACAACAAAACCTAAACTCCATCATGGATAATCCGGAGTGTCGGTGACTGGGAATTGAGACACGTTCCGTCACTGAAGTATGAAACGTCCCCCGTTTCCCGTGCTCGGACTAACTCCTATCCCAAGCACAATGCAATATGCATGACATGCATGAGTGCAACTGAGATACAACCTAACATGCACAATGCTATGAAATGACATACATGATGCACGAGGTAACATGGCATACACAATGCGCTAACATACAATCTGGCATACACAATGCTATGAAATGAAATGGCATACACAATGCACAATAGACTTACACCAACATGAGTGGACCATAGCCACACTCACATCAGTAGCCATGAGATGAAAATGAGACACTCGAAATGCGTGCACACATGCACGCAAACCGAGGACCGAACCTAAGGCAACAAATGCCACTCTACCAAAGCATGGCAAGGCATGGAATATGGTATGCAATCATGAAAATTTCAGCACTGAAATGTGATGCAAAATGACCCCAAAACATGGAAACATGGCACCCGATGCATGGAATGAACTCAAAACACGAAACTAGGCATGCGCATTGGCCTATAGCTATACAAAACATGCATTATTTGATCATGAAGCATGAAGAAAGATGAAAGACAGTCCCAAAACATGCATGTTTCCAGTTTATAACAAGTCCCAAAAATGAATTCAAATAGGGCTAATCTATCATGCAAAAAAGGCCCCAAAAGAGGGACAAAGAAGCAAGTGGCAGCTTCCGGCCCCAAACAATGAAAAGCCCTTCAACAAATTTGAAGAAGGGCTCAAAATAGTATACTTTACAATTTATGACAAAGTCCAAAATAGTGCACAAGTAAGCTCAAAACACTATGCAAAAATAGGCCTAAAAAGAGGTTTAAACACAAAGAGCAAAAAGGAAGCTTCAAAAAGCAAAAGTCCCTTGATGAAACATGAAGAGGGGATAAAAATAAGGCTATTTACAGCTCGGACCAGAGCCCAAAAATACAAGCACAAGGGGCTAACAAAACATGCAAAAATAAGGCCAAAAGAGGGATAAAGAGGCAAGTGACAAAAGGAAGCCTCAAACAGTGAAGAGCCCTTCAACAATGTTTAAGTAGGGATCAAAATAAGCCACTTTTCAGTTTATGACCAAGCTCAAAGCAGTTTACAAATGAGCCTAAAATACTATGCAAAAAAGACGCATACAAGAGAGGTAAAGAAGCAAGTGGTAGCTAGAGACCTTAAACATGGAAGGAACATTAATCAATCATGAAAAAGACATCAAAACATGACTATTTTCAGTTAGGGTCGGAGCCCAAAAATGTAAGCAAGTATGGCTTAGATATAAAACAAAATAAAGCACAAAAGAGGGAGAATGAAGACTCACCCTTGTAGACCAAGCTTCAGCAGCTCTTGGCTTGAGAAAATGTGCTCCTAAGCTCTGGAAAACCAGCTCCAAGTGTTGGAAAGGATGGTGGTGGTGTGGTGCTATGCGGTGGTGTAGAAAGGGGCGTGGGATTTGAGGGGTTATGAGGGTTGGAGTGTAGAGAGAGAGAGATGCAATGCAAGAGCCTTAAAGCAAATTTTGTAACCCCCAAAACACAGCTGGGGTTGCTGGTTATATAGGCAAGAGTGTGGGAAAAAATGGGGAGAAATGGATTTCAAATTTTCCCCCAAAAGTGCAGCCCCCCGGATACACAATCTGGGGGGAAACGGAATACAGATTTGTAATGTACCAGAGGAGGGGAGCAAGGCCGACCTGGTATCTAAGTTGCAGGTGGCCGGCCGGCCCTCCCATGGCTGGCCAGCCAAGGGTCAAAAGGCTTAAGAAGTATTAGTGGCCGGCCACCCCAGATTGGTGGCCTCACATGTGTGCACAACACAACCATGTGGTCAAAAACTGGAGAAAGTAAATCAGGAGAGAGAAAAGCCCACTTTTAGGAGGGGTTCAAAAGGTTCAGACACAATTACTGGCCGGCCATGTGATATTGGTGGCCTCCCAGGTGTGTACAATACAAATATGTGGTTTAGGGCTAGAAAAAATGGCCTTAGGGTGGTCAACATTGGCTTTCGAGCGAGAAAAACGAGCGATGGAGGGCGATGGAGGAATAAAACTGGTTATCAGAACAATTACTGGCCTCCCACCCTTCTACGACCTTCTTAACAATGAAACAGAGGTCCCTGCCAAAAATGAACCCAAACCGATGCAAAATGAAGGTTCGGGGGCCGAAACGCGCAGCCCGAGGCCTCGAAAACTGACTGTTAGGCATCGGAAGTGGTGTTCGACCACGAAGTTGGTCTCTCGAGCCACAGTTCCCTCAAAAGGGAGTAAATAAGATGCATACCAAAAACCAGAGCAAACAGAGGTGGTTAAGCGGTCCCGAACCGAGGCACACGGCCAACAGCTCCGAAAAACCAGAAACCGGACTCTAAACGGGCAAAATGGCCTACGACCACGAAATGCAGCCTACGGCCACTGAGAGATGTTCTACGAGACCTCTCCCTCCCTTCGGGAAGAGAAAATAGAGAAAACAGAGCCTGGTTCGCAAACCGAGGCAAAGCATGAAAGAGTTCGGAAGTCCGGAGGCGAGGCTCGCAGCCGAGACTCTGAAACCTCTGAATGAGCACGATATACAACATCACCAAGTGCTCAGTCGGTGACATCTGAGTCTTAAGGTCGGTCCAAAATGGGGTGTCTACTACTCCCTTCACCCCCCGCCGTCAATCTGTTAATACTAATCGAAGGAACCTCCTCAGAGGAACTTAACGATTCCCCTTGCTCTAAGCTTAAACCCAATTCCGTTTGCCCTAAACCTAATAATGTTGGTGATTTTGAATCCCTAACTACATCCTTAGCCCTAGAGGAAACCCCTTTAGTAAACTATGGAGACTCCATTGACATCGATGAGCTATTGAAACCCTAGAATTTTAGGAATTCCAGAGGGATGAAAGAGCTTCTCTCAGTAACCCATGTCACTAATGGTGTTCTTTGTTCTTCCTTTATGATTAGAACTATTAGGTATAGATTGATGTTGGGAGTCAGGGCTTTTGAATTTTTTTTTTTTGAATTTTTTTTAGTGTTTGGCGCTCGAAATTTTTATTTTGGTGCTATTTTTTTTGGCTGTACCTTTTACGATAGCAATTGTATGTTGTAAAAAGTACAATATTTTAAACGGCTGACTTTTCTTGCATTGTGGAAAGTGAAATTTTTAACGACTGGATTTTTGTGCGTCGTGAAATGTTCAATATTTTTAACAGCTAGTTTATATGTGTCGTGTATAGTTAATGTATTAACGGCATGCCATATGCACGTTATAAAAAGTTTTATTATTTACGGCTAACATTGCAAGTCGTAAAAAAATTGTCGTTATTTGCATTCACGACCTACGCAATAGATATGTCGTGATTAGAAAATTATTTACAACATGCAAAAAAAGGAAGTCGTAAAAGTGAGAAACCACGACTTGCATTTACTGCATGTCAAGTCGTTGATGTGAAGCCGTAAAAACCCAGTTTTGTTGTAGTGTTTGGAAGGTAATGCATTACTCCAACAAACTTACAGATTCTGAGATGATGACCAAGAAGAAGGCTACTAAATGAGTATAGTACAGACACAGAAAAATCACCAGAGCCTGTAGATGCACTAACCCAAACTTGACAGTTTGCACTTTCATAGCTTAGATGATGAGCTGAAGATAAGATAACAATCAATCTAACTTCTTCAACCAATTCCCAAGCATACAACACTCTTCTATAAGGAAAGTTCCAAACACTTAAGCTGGATTTTCTATCAAAGAATTGGTGGAGAGAACCTTCCTTATTAGTAGAAAGATTGTAAAGAAGAGGAAATTCAATCTTAAGACAAAAGCCTCCACACCACTTGTCATGTCAAAATCAGATTATATTCTCATCCCCCGCTTTAATTAGACAGTTATCCAAATAGAAATTGAAAATATTTTTACTATGAGCCCTAATGGAAATAATGTCATTTCACACTCTAGAATGCATATAAGAAGACCTCACTGGAGGAAGCCAACATTCCTTCTCAATTTTATATTTACTGCAAATAGCTCTTCTTCAAAGTGCATTGATTTGATTTCCAAATTTTCACCACCATTTGAGTAGTAAACATGCATTGACATCCCTGATCCTTCTAATGCCCAAACCTCATTGATTAAAACTGTTTGTTGCTTCCACTCATTTCACCATATGGCCTTTTCTTTTTAGATCATTACCGCTCCATAAGATCGCAGCCTCAATGTTCTCAAATTCATTTGCCACACCTTTAGGTATTTTAAATAAAAAAAGGTAATACATAGGTAAACTGGATAAAGCAAACTTGATCAAGGTTAGCATACCTGCAAAGGATAACAATTGTCTCTTCCACCCTGAAAGCCTTGATTTGATTTTGTCAAGAACAGGCTTCCAAGTTAATTTTCTATCAACAACTCATAAACATTGTCATCTATGTTTTTGACTTTGGAACTTTAGAGGTAAATTAATATATATCATTCGAAAATTAATTGCCGAAAATATATAACAAATTCGGAAGTACAGAACCAAAAATACAATGCAAGTCTTCAATGGAGTTGTCTTTACCATGGGTCTTTAATGGAGTTGTCCTTACTGTGTGGTTGTGTTTACTGTGGGTGTATAGATCTGTCTCAATGTAAGTAAAAACCCTTGTTTAGGGATATGTGTACAAGATTTGAGTTGAAATTATAATTGAAATATGTAGTATGTGGACTCTGAATAATATGTAACAAAATTCATAAATGAGTGAACTGAAATATGATGTACACATAAATAAAATAGTGTATAGAAATAAAAATTCCCCGTTATAAATACAATAAAGGTAAAATTATCATTTTAAGTTGTCATCTTTTTCCATTGAATTAACTGACGTTTGACTGACAAAAAGAGTAAACTATTACATTATTTTCAAATATGAGAGAGTGCAGTGATATTTCAAAAATTAAAAAGGGCGACAATGATATTTCAAGAAAATAGAGGGGGTGTTAGTATAATTAACCCTAATACTTTATTACAGTGCCGGCAACAAAGGGCTAAAAGATAGCATCACTCTCTCTGCGTCACGCTGATGACGTCCTTTGCTGTAATTAGTTAAACACTCCTCCAAGCAATTTCCCTTCAATTTCCCCTCAATCTTTCTTTCCTTTCATCTATTCTCTCTCTCTCTCTCTCTCACCAAAAAGCTTCTCCCTCTCTCTCTCTCTCTCTCTCTCTCACCGCAAAGAAAAGCACCCCATCTTCTCTCTCTTTCTCTCTCTCTCTCTCTCTCTAGAATTATTTATTTATTTATTTTTTTGTTGCTTTGGATAAGAAGAACAATGGGTACATTTTTGCCGGAAAAGTCATGCAGCAGCAACAGGAAAAGAGCAGTAGAAGAGATGATTAAGGGGAGAGATGTGGCGACCCAGCTTCAGAATCTGCTTCAAAAGCCATGTGGAGGAGATGGGTCTGTCTTGGCTGAGGAGCTTGTGGTGGAGATCTTGAGATCTTTCACTCAGACTCTCTCTCTGATGAGTTCTTGTTGTGATGAGTCCGGTGAGGTGTGTCAGATTCCGGCGACTACTACCCAAGTTGGGTCTCCCAGCTGCGGTGGTGGTGGTGGTGACCTGAGGTCTGTGGATTCCGGCGAGAGTAGTAAGATGCCGGCCGTCAAGGATCGGAGGGGTTGTTACAAGAGAAAGTGAGTATTAGGGTTTTTTTTTCTTTTCTTTTCTTTTCTTTCTTTTCTTTATGATCATTATAGTAGAGCTGTATAATCAATAAAATAAAATAATGGGAATTATTTCAAAACAGGGTTTATTCAAAATAAAAAAATTCATCCGGCTGTGTTTGTATGGTTGATTTTAAGAATATATATATATATATCATTCACTAGTATTTATAATATTTTTTTCTTGTATTTTCTTTCTTCTTTTTTTTTTTTTTTTTTTGGGAAAAATATCATTTTAACCCAAGTTTTTTTTTAAAAAATATTTCATATTATTGAAAACATTTAAAGATTTTCATCAATCTGAAATTATTTTTTGAACATAACATTGAAATTTTATTTCCCCTATGAAATTCAATCTTAAGACAAAAGCCTCCACACCACTTGTGATGTCAAAATCAGATTATACCCAAACACTATTTTTCTGATAAAAAATCTTATGAAATAGTTTTTAAAAGAAACTATATACCTTTTTTTAGTATTATTTATGCATTTTAGTTGTGTCACAAGAATGCGAATATTATATACCTCATGAGTTTATAAGTAATGATTGAAATTTATTAGTTATGAAGATGAAAATGGAAATGGAAATGGAAATTGAGAAAATAGTCATCTCATTAGGCTTCTTGTTTCTATGTGTAGCTTCACTTTCATAACATTATCACTATGGGATAAATCATAATTAGTGGGTTCCAATTCATTTGAAAAAGGTGAATTTGGATTTTTAGGCTATCGCTGTGTATGTGAACAAATATAAGCTGTGTATGTGAACAAATATATATATATTGCTTATTCTTTGCTAAATGTGCCATTATTTTTTTAGTGAATAAATCATAATTAGTGAATGTAAAAAAAAATAATGTTATGAATAAATCATAATTAGTGAATGTAAAAATAATGTTATGAATAAATCACAATTAGTGAATGTAAACAAATATATATATATATATATTTTTTTATTTTTTATAAAAAAATGTAAAAAAAAATTAAAAATAATGTGACTCAATAAATAAATAAATAAATAAATATACTTTTGTAATGCACCCAAACACCCTCTTAGTTACAATAATTTTATTGCTTGCAGAAAGAGCACTTCAGAATCATGGATCAGAGTCTCACCCACCATGGAGGATAGCTATGCATGGAGGAAATATGGACAAAAGCAGATCCTCAAGGCCAAATTTCCAAGGTCTATCTCTCAATAATTTTTTTTTTTTTTTTTTTTTTTACTGGCAAATTCATAATTTTAAGAATTGAAACAATGCTCATAATCATATGTTTACTGTTCGCCAAATCCTATGTCTTCAAAATTTTCATGTTTCTGTCCTTAATTACTCATTTAGAGTATCACTTGAACTTACTCTAAAAATATTGAATAATTTCTCATAAACTCTCGACTTAGAGTATTATGAGAATCTCAAAGTACAAATATCTCGAAATATAATTTCTTCAAACAATATTCAAAATTCTATAATTATAAGTTTAATATTTGCCTACGATTCTCTATCCTTGAAATTTTATCCCTTGTACACTCTAGTGTGAGAGGATTTACATTCTTTGCAATAATTAGCACTATTATTTTGTAGTAGTGGTTAAAGAGTGGTTTAAACTCTTAAACCACCAAATTGATTGTATTTTTGGAATAAAATCACCCTTAAACCACGATTATAAGATTATTGCACCAAAAAATATTACAGAGAATTTTAGTCAACAGTGTTGATCTCAAAATATAGAAATCTCCAAACACGATCTTATGACCAAGAATGTATTCGGACAGTAAGATAGAAGTTTTTTGGTATTGCAGGTGCTACTTTAGGTGCACACACAAGCCTGATCAAGGTTGCCTAGCAACTAAGCAAGTGCAAAAAATCCAAGAGGACCCCAACATGTACCAAACCAAGTACTTTGGATTCCATACTTGCGGAGCTCTGGCTTCACGAAACAACATTATTATTGATTCTGATGATCCTGTGGAACCTTATCTACTTAGCTTTGGACCAATGATTTCAAGTGGTACAGCTACTCAAGAAGATCATCAGCATCTGATCTCAAGCCCACCTGTCCCTCCCATAAAAGAAGAATATTGCAAAGAGGAGGAGACTCAAAGTAATCTTTCCGGTGAGTTGTCAGCGCCGCCTGTGGACTCCTCCATTGTCTGGCCTGATCTAATGCCTTTGGAGTCATCTTCATCAACTGGTTCTCAAGGTTTCGACATGGACTTTTTGATTGATGTTGAGCCTGATGATTTGGCCAATGGCTTTCATTTTGAGGAGTCTTAACTCATGTAGAGTTGTTATAAATTAATATGTGTTATGTATTTAGAAAAATATTTTGAAAAGTATTCAGAATTTGAATTGTGTAGATTTGATTTATTCTGAGTATAGTTTACACTGTACATCAAATTTAAATCTATACTTTAAATTCAAATCTTGAACATTTTTTAGATGTTTTTCCAAGTATATCTAGCGTTTGTGTAAATAAATTCTCTTGTTATGTCTGCTACTTTCTTAGAATGAAAATGTTTATAATAATTTGCTCTTAGGAGCTGCATGGGGCATTTTGATATTTTCTCATATTTTTGTTTTTTTCTCATATTTTTGTTTCTTTCATTTAAGCTGGGATTCTCTGTCCCATCAATGGCAGTTGTGATTAGTTTTTTTTTTTTTTGAATGAAATTATATGGTTTGTTAGTGAGTGAATGACACATAAATAAACATTTCTTTTTCTTTTTTTTCAAAGCATAGGATCCGTCTCATTTTGTGTTTGGTATGGGTTTAGAATCATGATTTCACCACGTATTCTAAGGCTTTGTCCAGTTATAATTTTCGAAACATGATTTCAGATCACATTTTAAAACACATTTGAAAAACATGTTTGGTTACAGAGAATTTTTCAAAGAGTTTTTGAAATTTAAATTTTGAAAAAAGCGGTTTTGGTGTACCCGGTCATCTTTCCGAACATCCTTTTAAACGTCTGGCCAGTTGACCGGAACAATGATCTTTTTTTTTTGATTTTTTTGGCAATTGCCATATGTTATTTGAAAAAAAAAAAACTATATTTGTTTTTGATTTTTTTAAATATATAAATTATTTTTTTAGACCAAAATGACAAATTATTTGGCCATTTATTTAAAATTAACAATAAAAATTTAAATAAAAATTATTTGTCACAGTATTTTTTTTAAAAAAATAAAAATATATTTTTAAACAAAAAACATTATTTTTTTTGAATTGATTTTTAAAAAGAGTTTGGTTATGAGTTTTGAATAGAATTTTTAATAGAGTTTTGAGTTGTGTATTTGATTATGAGTTATAAGTTTCTGAATTAAGTTTTAAAAACTCTTTTTAAAACTCATAACCAAACAACTTTTCACAAACTCAACACTCAGTTCAAAAATTCAATACTCAATTCAAAATTCAATTCAAAACTCTTTTCAAAATTCATAACTAAACAAATTTTCTATTTTCAAATCATAATTTCAAAACTCACAAACTCAAAATACAATTCCACACTTAAATCATAATTCTAAACACAAACCAAAAGCTACCTAAATATTCAGTCTTCGTTTGGTATTGGCTTTTTTAGCTGACTTTTTTTGTATTGGGACTTTTTTAACCTCGTTTAGTTTGGCTTTTTTGACTTTTGTGAAAGAAAAAATGTAATAATTATAATTTGAATGTGACATTTTATCTTATTGACTTGTATAGTAAATTTTATCTTTTTATGCTTATGTTATGCTATTTATGTTCATCTTCTATTTCCTATTATTTTTGTCCCCCATTTAATATAAACAAAATATTTTTAAAGAATTCTCATATATAATGGTTATTAAAATTTTGTGATCCTCTGATTCAAATCAAAATATGCACTATTTTGTTTATAATTTTAAAAATATCACTGTCACATCATTTTGAATTATTTTTTTGTATAAAAATTTTTATTTATAAATTATTTTTCTTTGATTATAAAAAAAAATACAAAATTTTTAAGAATGACTTAATAATTAATGAGTGAATTAAAAATGAAAGACATGGATGTAGAGAATCTGTAAAGGACAATGGGTAACTTATCATCCACTTTGCTTCAACAAATTTTCACATATTCATCTGATCTAGTGTGTGTGTGTGTGTGTGTTGTGTGTGAGAGAGAGAGAGAGAGAGAAAGAAGGGTTTGGATTTTCTGCACAAAAAAGTGTTTTTCCGTACAAAAGTTTCAGCTATACTGTTGCTTTACCTAACTCCTAAGGTAGATCCTCCATCGGTCATAAATGGTGTGTGCTAGTTTGGACAGATCATCTCCCATGGTTATTCACATTTGTTTAAAAATTTAAATTTAGTAAAAAATTATTCCTTTTTTTACTTCAACAGTTTAATCAAATAAATATTAAATTTAAAATTTTACTTTTTTTCATTAAATTGAGTATTGTTATACCTTTCATCAAATTACTGTTTATAACCATTGCCGAATGTCCTTTCGAATGACCACCTCAAATCAAAAATTTATAAAAAAATTATACTGACCGGTCAACACCCCGGTCGTCCACCTCAAGGCAAAAAAATAGAAAAAATTACACTAACCGGTCGATCGACCAAACATTTGCCTGGTCGACCGGTATTCTAATGAAATTCTAAAATCTTCCGTTGAAATATTTGATATCAAAGAAAATTTTTACTCAAATTTAATATAAAAATTAATGTACCATTAAAGATACTCTAACATACATCAGAAAGAAACTCACAATTTAAATTTTACAGTTCACTTATAATGGTGTTAGGTGCAGATAAAATAAGTTATTTATAATTTATTTTAATTTGAGAATGTTTTAGATTATTTGATTTAACTTTTATTTATAATTTATTAAGTAGAAATAATTTAAATAGATTTAAAAAAATTAATTATCTAAAAATTAACAAAAAAGATGTTTTACATTTTACTTATTAATTATTAATTATTAATTTATTATACCAAACAGATTTATAATAAAAAAAATTGTAAATAAATTAAAAATTGACATATAATATATCATGTACCATATAATTGATCGTACATTTTATGAGTCCATACATGATAGATAACATGCATGATGCATGTCTTTCATCAATATCCAATTTCATCACTCGTTGGTCTGACATGAGTAGTTTGTCGGCTAGTGGATACTTTTTTGTTGAGTTGCCATCACATGCTCATATCCAATGTATCCTTCCCCTCAACTGAGAATCAAAACAACATAGTACTGATTTTTTTATTATTTATTTGAGCATTGATAGAAACCCTCTCCAATCACTACCTCCACAATCCCACACACATGTGATAGGTGGTGATTAGAGAAGAAAGAAAAAAAAAACAAAAGAAAAAGTAGCCAATGAAAAAAGAGAGGGGGTCAAAGGGGTGAAGGGAAAGGGGATCTTAAACATTTTTGTATTTATTTATTTTTAAAAGTCAAAATTAATTTTTTTATTTATAAAAATCTAATATATGTAACCAAACAACAATGTTTGGACACTTGAATTTTTATGGTTTGAATTATTCGAATGTCTTAAAACGACGTCAAATGATATTATTTTAATACATTCGAGTCATTTGGGCCATACAAATTTGAGCTGTCAAACATCTTTCGTAACCAAAAGCATCAATAAATTAAGGGAAATTTAGAATGATATAAATAAGTATTTTTATTTTTTTTTACAAAAAAGTATGCAAAAAATAAAGAAATGATATGATCCAAATAACATTTAGAGCATCCACATCAAAGTAGCTAAATTTTTAGACAAATTTTACCTAAAAAACTAATTTTCTATTTTAGTTAATCACATTTTCAAGTACATTCTCTAACAAATTCTTTAAATTTTTTCTATTATATTTAAATATTATTTATTTATTCTTCTAAAAATCATATTTTTTTTCAAATGGGCATTTTTTTCAATTGTCATATATTTTAAGCTGACAATAATCATATTTCTTCAAACAAAAAAAGCAAATCTATTATAGTATTTATATAGAATTTGGCACAAGAATAATGTGGTAGTAACATATAAATAAATAAAATTTATTTTGATAAGTCTTTTTTAAAATAAAATTTTGTATTTAATCACACATCATTTTGTATAAATTATATATTTTTATATTATTACTACTCTTTTCAATCCAACACTTTTTAAATCTGTCATTTTTTTTTTTTTTTTTTGAGGTTGTACTCAAAATATTTTAAAGTTGCTCCAATGTCACTGAAACTTTGAGAGAACTTTTATTAATATTTTATCATTTCGTACCAAGAACCGAGTCCACAATCGTTGTCTGCATGTAACAATGGAGTTAGACTCAATTAAAGTCGACAATTGTGCTGTCGGGCCTGAGGAATGCAATTTATGTGAATTTCCTTATCAAAGTAACTAGGCAGTGGGTTTAGCACTTTTAATGTTGATGTTGTTATATTGGTTGTTATGTCAAACATTTTTAAGGCAAATTTAGGTATCTTAGCAAAACTTTTTAATTTCAAATAAATTAAATCCGTTCATGTGCCGTCACTATACCCATAATTGGTAAGGATAGAGTATTTATCACCACACAGGTTAATATTGTATTAAGGTTCCCATAACCTCACACATCATCGTTATATTGATTTAAATAATCTTATTACTCATGTCTGTAATCATAATAAATATTTTTAATACATAAATATGATTACTAAAGCATTATATAAAAGAATTTATGATTAGTTTTAACGATTGTTTAGAAAGTGTTAAATTAATATACCTCGAGGGGGTATATGTAATTTGCCCTTTGATAATTGATCAATTAATAAATATGTAATTTTCACTTCAACTATACACTAAAATATATCAATATCTAAAAAAAAAAGAAATAAACAATATATATATATATATATATAAGTTCTATTTTTTAAAAATTATAATGGGGACTTTTTTTTAAACAGAAAAAAAATATTTTGTGAAGGTATCATAGTATCTGTAAATCCTGATTTCGGAATAACTAATTGTCAGTCATATTTAACATAACTCAAAGGAAAAGACTCACCACTAAAATAAGAGAAGAATACTTTAACTCTCAATATAAAATGTTAGAATCGCAATCAAAATACCGTTTAAAAAACTAGTCACTACTCACACCCCCTAAAAATAAGCCTAACTCAATTATCATCTTTTCATCCCCCACCACTTCGGTGGCCGTAATGGGGACTTTAGGAATAACTTATGAGCTCCAGTTGTAGGGGCTAATGCCCACCTGCTATTATTTGTACTATGTACACATGCATAAAAAAGTGACAATTATGTATACTTTTGGACAGAATTGAGGTTATAAAAGTTATCTAATATCAATCTATTTTATATGTCATTTTTTTTTAAACTTTAGAAATAACTTATGAGCTCCAGTTGTAGCGGGTAAGCCTATAATGCCCACCTACCATTATTTGCACTATGTACACATGCATAAAAAAGTGACAATTATGTATACTTTTGGACAGAATTGAGGT